GGGGCCCGCAAACAGAGGTATGAGGAAGTGGTTCCGGGCTCAGAAAAAGGACCTGATATCAAAAACTAATGATGTATTATACGTTGGCTAATTGAATTTAAATACATTTTTAAAAAGTACCCGAGATCCACTGTTTATTCTCCCTAGAAGGTCACAGGACATAAAACTTTACAACAGCTACCCTATGGGAAAACCAAAGAATGGAGGGTGTGAAGGGGGTCCAAAAAAAAAAAAAAACCCTCAGCATGCATTCTCTCCTATGTGGTCTTTCATTAAGAAATTTCATGTGTTAAAGGAGAAAACTACATGGGTTTCCATCTGAAAACTATATGAAGAAATTCAAGCTAATCGTTTCCAGCCAGCATCTAACATATTTGAAGAATGATAAAAAGGAGAGCACCAGACATTTCTGAGGCTCAGGCGAACTTTATAGATATGGGACTCCTCAAAGACGGTGCTCGACACTGCTCTGGGGGATACAAGAAGTAATTCTATGTTTTGTTTGAGGGTGAGCAACTGCTCTGACCTGTTTTATCCAGGCAATTTTTGTGAGACAGATGGTAACATAATGGGGTGGGGTGGGGGGGAAGCCAGCAAAATGGAGAGAAGGTGGTTACAGGATTACAAATGAGAGTTTGGGGAGAAGGTTTGATTTTGTTCCCCTACGTGTCAGTTCCAAGATGCACAGAGACCTGATTCAACAGTTCAGTGAAAGACAGGTTTGGAGCTCCAGCAGAGAACTTCCTCTCGGCTACCACTCCTGTCCCCAGGCAACTGCTAAAATACCAAATGATCCAACTGTGTTGGGTTCCCACAAACCAGAACTACAGGTCAGGGTGCAAACAACCTGCGTCCCAGGACTGGCTCTGGGACTATCACCTGTGGGGACGTGGGAAAGTCATCTCATTTCACACCAAGGCTTTTGTTTCATCTGGAGAATGGGAATAAATGAGAAAACCCAAGGAATGAAGAGAAATTGCTGCCTCAATAGTGTTTGTCACCACGAAGGGTGAGCTGCCACCCCTGGTTACCAATCTTAAAACTCCGGCGGGGGTCGGCGGGGGGGAGGGCAGGAAACCCAACAATCTGAGGCTTTCCAAGTCACATTGCTCTTTTGGAGGTAGAAGGTTGCAAAGCAACTTGATCACCTATGTGTTACAATGATCAAAAACACTGGACAGCTGCTAGATTCACTTTTTGATTATAACGAAGTATCCTTTGAGATCAGAAGACTACGTTTGTATACAGTATATGTGAGAGTCCCAGTATTACAGAATTTTCATAGAAACCAGCCTACACGGGGGCGCCTGGGTGGCTCAGTCGTTAAGCGGCTGCCTTCGGCTCAGGTCATGATCCCAAGGTGCCGGGATCAAGTCCCACATCGGGCTCCCTGCTCAGCGGGGAGTCTGCTTCTCCCTCTCCCGCTCCCCCTGCTTGTGCGCACGCTCACGCTCTCTCTCTCTCAAATAAATAAAAAAAAAAAATCTT